CTAATAGTCTGAGCCCTACACCGACAAAGTCATCAATACTTTCAATGGTTGACACATTTCGGCACTTCTTAACAATTGTCTCAAATGTGGGCCAATCCTTACATTTGCTGATCATTTCAACGTTGAGTACAATTGGGTGCAGACTTTGCTGAGTGAATAGCAATGTCTGGAACCGTTTGGACAGACATTCATATCTGAACCGGTCTTCCAGTGATAAGTAACTCAATACGAGTTCACACATATCGTCACCAAATGTGTCCAAAGGGATCACTGGACACACAGTTTTACATTCAGCGTGTGAACGGTCTGTCATCACATAGAGATCAGTTGCCGGTGTGATACCACTCTCGAGGTCATCGGTGGTAAAGTTGTTTGAATGAAATACGAGTCTTGAGAACCAATTTGATACACTTCTCAAGAAACTCATTTTGTTTGCAATTAACAACTTATAACTCGTTAATTAAATTAAAACAAAATGAGTGCTTAAAACAATTAATTATCAAACATTATAATCAATGTAAAGTTTACATACAAATGCTTTCTAAATTTGAGACTTATTTTCAATTTTGATTACTTTTTAAACACAAGTTCACTCATTATAAAAGATTACAAAGATTTTCATGATAAATATAATCTAGCGAATTATGAACAGGGCTCATAGATTTCAATGTCACGTGTACACAATTCAGATACATATTAAATGAGTTTACTGCATTTTTAAAGGTATTAACTAGCTAGTTTAAATTACTAACTTTAGTACTTTTAATAAAAACTTATAAACTAATAAGTTAAATCGCAAGTTCATTTAAAATATAACTTTTTATTACAAACATAAGATTCATTTGAATTAATTTAAAATTTAATTTATGCAAAGTTGCGGTTTACTTATTTTAAATCTAGGTATTTTTAGTTAAAAATATTTGTAATTCAAAAAATATGTCATTAATTAAAAGTTTAATTATTAAAAACGAATAAACAAATTACAAAAAATCTCTACAAAAAATATATCAAATACTTTGCAAAAAATATAAACGAGATTTGTTTTGGTCATCAGATTCTGTGTCATAATAATTATGCTCTAAAAATGTATCACTTATTGTACGGTGCGGTCAATGCGTTGACTTAAATACAGTTCCACTTTGGGGTAGATTTCATTGGACTTGCGGCCCACGAAGTTCTCCAAAATGCCTTTTTCTCTGCGAAATACACCACAAAAACACACTTTTATTATCGTAACAAATCATTTATTCATAGATAACCCCACGAACAACAAACATCCCATACTTTTCCATCACTTTTCCCTGAAAAACACACCTTTCCTTTGAGGAAATGCTAACCAATACAGTAATTAAACACAAATATATTAAAAACTAATCACACACTAAGACTAATGAAAAATAGCAATATTTATTAATTTAATTATTCATGACATTTAATACTTTTAATAACTATTATATCACTAGACTTATCACTAAAAGTAATATAACTATTATTTCAAACACAATATAAGCTGAAAATACCTGAAAAAGTCAATAATAACTTCCGACTGTTTCTTATACTCGAGTAGTCTCTGCATAACGACGTGCTCCTTGTCGTCCTCCCTCTGGACCAGTGGCTCACCCGTCACGTCGTCCACACCGGCACTCTTGGGCGGGTTATACAGCAAATGATACGTACGTCCCGACGCCCTATGAATCCAACGGTGTTTTATGCGTTCAATGATCTCGTCGTCCGGTACGACCAGATTGATGGCGCTGTTAGGTCTGAGCGCCTCTCGGGACCACAGCTCCCGAGCCTGGGCTACGGTGCGCGGGTAGCCGTCCATTAGGAATGGCTTTTCCTTATAACTTTCAGTCAGTTCGTTGATCACCAGCTTATTGACCACCACATCGGGCACTAGTTTGCCGTTTTTGATGTACTGCTCGGCCTCCCGGCCCACTTCCGTGCCTCTGGCGATGTGCTCCCTCAGCAGGTCTCCCACCGATAGGTACGGCAGCGAGAAGTGGCGTATAATGCGTGAGCTGATGGTCCCTTTGCCAGATCCCGGCGCTCCCATTATTATGCTTCGGAACACTTTCAGCATATTTTTATCGGCTTTTCGGTTGGATTTGGTTTTGTCGCTAAATATGACAACATTTTTGACAAACAGTTTAGTGGACGAAGAGTTCGTTGAAAACATGAATACAAATAATAAGTAATTTGTTGCAAAAGACTATGAATTTGTGAAAACTCTTTTCAAAAGTGAAAAGTTACAGAAAAGTAGTGGTTTTTCGTATGAATAATTTGTCTATAAGTTTATGATTAGCCTTAAGGGCATCACTATTTAAGGGGACCTTTGGTCGTGATTATGACATTACGAGTGCGATATACCCCTAAATATGGGGTGAGAGGGAGGGGTTTGTATTGTTTGCCATACAAATAGTAGACTAACTTTAATCACTGGATAATTGTAATGATTATGTATTTTGGCATAAACTTTAGACCAAATGCATATTTTTTGTGTGCTTATCGCTTGGACCTTGCTCACACTATTTGGTTGATAATAATTATAATTTAATCCAGTTAAATTAAACTTTAAAATCTAATAATCAGTAAAAATTTTAGAAATACTGTATCTATCAAATAAATAAACAGCAAAATTAGTAAATAATTAAATAAATTATTGTTTATTTGAATTGCAAACTTTGAAAACATAAATATAAAATAAAGTCATTAAAAGGATTTAAATTAAAATGTCATTAAAATGTACATTAACTCTATCCATAGAAATAGCAATAAAATTATTATTTTTTGTCAACAATCAATTAACAAGTAAATGATCCAGGATATCAACAAGGATAACAAGTTTAATATTAGCATCACCTCTATTTAAATGTCAAAAACGTCTAAAAATAGTGAATAGTTTGCATAGCATTGCATCAGATATTAGCCCAAAATATTGGGGACAAAGTCTGCAATAAAATTAATTTTTTCACTAAAAATGTGTGCTTTTTATCACTCATTCAATTGAATTAACAGTAAGTTTAATGTAAAACACATTTGAATCGCTTTTTGCACTGAAAAAGTACTCGCATTGAGTTCAGTGGGAAATGACTGATAAGTTTGTCATAAGTTTTGTGTTAATTTACAAATATTTATATACTTTTCATTGGAAAACAACTTTTTATACACAGTATTAATGTTATGCATAAATTAAATGTAATTTTTACGCATACTTACAATAGTTTTTAATTTATTAAAATTATTAAACACAATTACCAAGGCGATTTTATTGATTTAATTCAATTATATATATACAGTGTGATAGAGAGCACAGGTATGTGTGGACTGGTATGTAATTATGACGCTAATAATGAGTAGTCATACAAAAAACACAAACTTTTTAATTATAAGTGAATTACATTTAAAATAATAATTAATTTCTCGCTTTTCGCACAAAACTAACGCATGAATTGAGACTAAATTTGGTGACAAAAACTTTTTGCATCACATTTACAGCAAATATATATTGAGTTTCTGGTATTTATCGACAATTTTATGGTTATTATATAATTAAAGCCCAAAAACTTTGTAATAATAATAATTTCACTCAAATATTTGCCACAATTTCCTAATAAAACACTTATTTTTAGCGTATTTTCTAACGACTTATCGATTTGTTTACAGTATTTGTGCGCAAACTCTATGGCATTGCGGTTGACGTCAAACCACTTGTGCTTTGATTTATAAACACTAGCATTACGTAAGCGACCGAAACTGTGGGCAAACAACACATTAAACTACACGAACATTACTCGTACTATTTATATACACAAACTGGTAGAGTAATGTAATTACAAAGGGCTAACATATTGGGGGCATACATACATGGTTTTAGAGCCGTAGTGTAGATGTAGTGTGTTTTCATAGTTATGTTTGAAATAAATACCAAAATAATAATCATTTGCTTTTGACATACAGTTAGCCATTGATTGCCATTTCGGAGACAATTATGTCGACCGCCGCTCAGGAGGAAGAGGTCGACGACTACATGTCCGACACGTTTGTGCCCCAAGAGCTCAAGTAAGTGATGAACTCATCCCACAGTCGTATGTCTTAAGCGTTTGTCTTGTGGTTGAGAGTGATGTCCACTAATTGTCTCCATCGGTGTCCCAATCAGTGATATCCGGCCATCGCTTCTCTACAGCCATAGTCTGCGCGTAAAACAGGCGGCGCTCACGAAGAAGAGTGCGTCCGATCCGAAGCCGAAGACCTATTATCGACAACTGGAGGACCGGCTCCGGGAGGAGGCGCTCAACACACCCCTCGACGAGACCAACAAAGGCTTCAAAATGTTGGCCAAAATGGGACTCAATTTACCGCAAAGTAGTGGACAATCACTGCCACCACAACCACAACAGCCCCAGAGTAGCGTCAATGAGAGCGCCGGCGCTGATAGCGCTACCGGTGCCGCCACTGATGCCATCGCTGGTGACCATACGATAGCCGCCAAAGACTGGAAGAGTTGGGAACCGATCCGAATTGAGCTGAAGAACGATCGCAAGGGTTTGGGAGCCGTTAAGCGTCGCGTAGCCGACGACGACAAGCCACAGGTGCGACACATCGATGATAAGCGCGTCGAAGACCAGTTCCGGACCCATAAGAGGTCCAGAAATGTGTTGTTTCTGATGTCCAAAGATTTGAGAACCGCTCAGAAGGTGTGCCGCAATTTGGACGCCGAGTCCGGTGTCGAGGAACAGGAGTTTTTGGCGCAAACAGAGCGCCCGAAATGGTTTTGGCCGCCCATTGAGCGCCAGTCCGCTGATGATGGGGAAGGGGTTGTGGAACAGGAGGTCGCAGAGGACGGGGATGAGGAGGAGGGATGCGTTGAGCAGAGGTTTAAAGCGATTAACGAGTATTTGCGGCAAAAGTACTTCTATTGCATTTGGTGTGGCATTCAGTTTAATGATAGCCAAGACATGAGTGATAACTGTTTGGGTGACACCAGAGATGATCACCAGTAGGACATGGGTTTGTCAGCACCGGTAGCCCTCACACAAGTGTCGTAATATATACACATAATATTTATTGTATTTTTGTATTTATTTTTCATTTGACATGTATTTCTGTACATATTTTTGTGATTTTATAACTGTTTTTGTGATCTCACAGTATATTTTTGAATCCAATTAAACGTATATTTGTGTCAAAAGTAGTTATTTGTTAAGTATTTTACAGAGTTTATGAGTCAATGAGATGGTATGTTAGGGTCGGGTTTAAATCGCCAGTTCTCTGTGTACTGTATAATGAATTTCTAGTTTTAAATGTGGTTTTAATTAAAATCACTATACAGTTGATGCTAAATGATACTGTGTATTAATTTCTCAAATATTAACTCTAATTGATAATTGAGTGAATATAATGTTGTCAAACACCATCCAAATGTTAGCAGTATTATACATTTTATTACATTCTCTGTTCAGAATATACATAATATAACCAGAATTTACTACTTTTTATATGCCATAGATTACCCGATAAGCCATGTATTGCAAGTGATTTCTCTCACAATGTATTTTTGTATAAATACTCAAATGTATTCAATTTATTTCACTTATTATCGGACGATGTCTGAAGCAAAATCACTGTATAATTCATGACAAATGTAAAAACCTGTATTAATGGAAACATTTATCAATTAAAACCTGAAAATTTGTTAATCAATTATGAAATAAATAATATGAAACCGCAATTAGTGTTGATTTATTGTATTTAGCGAACCCTCCGATAGTTATCCCAATTTTGTTTGTGTTTCGCATAATATTCTTAAATAGAGTCCATTCCTTGTATTCAGTGTCCGACAGATCCCTATCAACCAAACCGTCCAATATGTCAATGAGTTTATCGGCATTTGTCTCAATTAGTCCACAGAAATAGCAACTGATAGTGAACTGAGAGATGCGAAAAATGCACGCAAAGTAAAACACATGAATGTAATTCCAATATAATGGTAATTGTTTGATGTTTGCCAGACTATAGATGGGTATCATTACCCCGTATATTGATAATAGGGTATTGGATGCGAGAACAACACACCATTGGCTGTCTATATAAGCGACCATTCGTTGAATTTTTACGAAATTTTGTCTCAATTTTCGCAATTTAACTGATAATCCAGTTTTGATGTTAACTATAATGGAAATAAAAATTTATAAATACCTATTTACCGTACCTATTATACCACCTGAGGTATTATTTGCGCAAAAAACATCAAGATCACTGCACATGGAATTTAGTAAATCCGCTAAATATATGCACATAAATGAAACAATTGATGGTAATATGCATAAGACTGTGTATGAGTAGCTCAAAAATATAGATCCAAACATTAGCCACCAATTGGGAGATTTTATGCAATTTATAATTAACAAGACCCATACGGTTAAATTATAAGCAATTACAATTATGGCGAAAAGGACAACATTGTTGGTAACTTTAAAATGATGTACATTTACAATAGTTATGAAAAATTTGTCAAACACTGCAAATGAATGATAATTTAAATAGTATGTCGTGAAAGTGATAACAAAGCTTTGCATCATATTCAACACACTTAGCAATATACCAAATTTTAATGCCGTGTCCGGAATTATAACATAAATTAGATAAAAAATGCCTAATGTAGGACAAATTATGCATAACATTGCCAATACAACGTAACCGTAATATTTCCATAATTTATTCCTTGATATTCGCCATCCATTTCCCATGTATTTCAACTCCAGTCCACCAAATGTAATGCCATATAACCGACAAATATATATCAATATCCTTGGGGTCCATATAAAAAATTTCGTATTTTGGTTCGACATAGTATTATAATGTTATTAAAGATACTTGATGTTTTCCATAGTAACTTACTATATTTATTTAATTCTCGATCTACTTTATTTTATTTATTATAGAAATATTTTCTTAAATTGAAATATTAATGTTTTCTCATGTTTTTATTTACATTGAATATTTTTTCCAATAATATATGCAAAAATATTATTGATTATAAATGAATGAATTGTTTATTTGCATATTTTTTTGATTAAAAAAATAATAAATATTAATCTTCTTATTTATTCTTTCAGTTTTAGTGTTTTAGTTATTCATTTAAAAACTTTAATACTATATTATATGGGAAAAATTGACCCTTATACATTTGATTGTAAAACAAAATATAATACATCTATCATATATCATCCCATTTCTTTTTGGTTATACTGGTATTATAGTATAGTACTGTATAACCGTTATACTATTCAAATTATATTTTTTGTACAGCATAAAACAATTAATTATTTTTAGATGAATTTGTGTCGGATGATGTCTGGAGCAAAATCACTGTATAATTCATGACAAACGTAAAGACCTGTATAAAATGAAGCATGTTAAATTCCAAATTTTGTCACCAGTAACTATAAAATTTAAAATATGAAACCGCAATAAGTGTTGATTTATTATATTTAGCGAACCCTCCGATAGTAATCCCAAATTTATTTGTATTTCGCATAATATTCTTAAATAGAGTCCATTCCTTTAGTAACTATAAAATTTAAAATATGAAACCGCAATAAGTGTTGATTTATTATATTTAGCGAACCCTCCGATAGTAATCCCAAATTTATTTGTATTTCGCATAATATTCTTAAATAGAGTCCATTCCTTGTATTCATTGTCCGATAAATTCATATCAACCAAACCGTCCAATATATCCATGAATTTCTCGGCATTTGTCTCAATTAGTCCACAGAAATAGCAACAAATAGTGAACTGAGAGATACGGAAAATGCACGCAAAGTATAGCATATGAGTGAAGTTGTTATATATCGGTAACTGTTTGATGTTTGCCAGACTATAGATTGGTATCATTACCCCATATATTGATAATAGGGTATTGAATGCAAATATAGCACACCATTGACTGTCTATATAAGCGACCATTCGTTGAATTGTTAGAAACATTTGTCTCGATTTTTGCAATTTTATTGATAATCCAGAAGATTTAGCTATTTATCAATATACAGTAATATGTTAATATATATTATGAAATAATTACTTTAAATGCAATATAACTTATAAATAAATATATTCTGTATTTTATGTAGTATTACCTGAGCTATAATTTGTGAGTAAATGACTAAAATCTCTGGACATGGAATCAAGTATATCGGATAAATATATGGACATAAATGAGACAATAGCTGGTAATATCCATAAGACACCATAAGAATAATTTAGAAAAATTGTTCCAAACAAAGGCCAGGTATGTTTAGCATTTATGAAATTCATAACCATTAAGACCCACACGTTTACATAATAAGCAATTGTAAGTAAAATTAATAAAAATAAATTTTTTCTAATTTTCAAATGATGAACATTTGCAATAGTGGTCACAAATTTGTCAAACACCGGGGATGAATGACAATTGAGATAATATATTGCCAAAGTAGTGACCGAGCCCTGTAATACGTTGAGCACTGTTTGCACTATGCCAAATGTCAATTCAGTGCCCGCAATGGTAACTGATATACTAAAATAGGTACCTAATGTAAGTATTATGATGCTTAACATAATTGGTATTAAATAGCCGTAATATTTCCAGAATCTATTCTCTGATAGTCGCCATCCATTTCCCACGTACTCCAACTCGAGTCCACCAAATGTTATGCCATATATACGGCAAATACAAATCAAAATTCTTGTGATCCATATAATTACTTTTGTAGACATTGTGTTAAATTATTCTCAATAATTTTTGTAGTTTTAATAATTTATTTTGACAATAAGTTATTATAAAAAATTCCAATGTTTTTATTAAGTAATATGTTATACTGTATTATTATTGATTAAAAATAGAAGTGTATTTTATATTATATTAGATGAATATTTATTTTATTGATCAAACATTATAATAAATATTAATAAAATAAAATAAGTGTTGTTTCACATATACAGAATGTACTGAATAGATACAATATTTATTTTATCCTTATAAAAGTTTTGGTTATTTAATCATTTTTATAATAACCCATAAAGTTAATTAGACAAGTGTATTGTTTACAGAAGTATATTTTTTAATATATGTAAATTAATTGGTTTATAAAACTGACAAAAAAATTAATTAAATATAAATATTTATTTCAATTGTATTATATTAAAATAAACTAAATAACATACTACTTAAAACTCATAGCCATGTCATATAAATGGTAGACATAAAAACCTTAAATAAAGTAGTAGCTCAATATTTAATGTTTATGAAAAATCGTGTCAATCAATTAATTAATTTTCCCCTTTAATGAATATAGTCCTGATTGAATTGATTAAAATACATATTATCTAAATGACACAATTAAATCCTCGACCTAAAGTCTAAGTCTAAAGTCTTACAAACAAAACTTAGGTACATATGATAATCACAGAATTAATTGCTGATTAAATTAGAAAAATAGTTTATCATTTGGGAATACACATCATAAACTATTGTTTATTATAAAACATCAAGTTAGTACAGAAATAATCAGCTAATTATATTTAAATGAAAAATAACATACCTTTGAATTGTTGATAAAATACATACGATAAGTAGCGTATATAAAGGAAAAATCAAATCAATTACCAAACAGTTACTAACAAAACTGAAATATGATTTGCACAAAAATTTTAATAATTTTATTTTTAACTCCCTTTGCGTTGGGACTGACCGGCAAAGAGTTGCTGGACTTTGCGGTCAAGCAGTACACAAAAGTGACGCATACTATCAAAACAGGGGAACAGTACCCATCGATGGGCGAACCCAACTCGACCACATGGAAAACCCTTCACGCGATTACCACCGACTTTAGGGTGGGTTTCTATCCGGGAATTCTGTGGCATTTATACAACTATACGAGTGATGAACACTGGAAACAGTTGGCCATCACCGCCACCGACGCCATGACTGATGATCAGTACGACACTAAGACTCATGACATTGGGTTTGGCATAATGTCCTCATTTGGAAATGGATACAAATTCACAAATAACCCCACATATGCTCAAGTTATTGTTACCTCGGCAAATAGTTTGGCCACAAGGTATAACCGTATGTATACTGATTAAATTTTATTACAAATTAAACTACTTTAATATAAAATCTAATCATTGTGCTTTTTAAAAACATTATTACTAAACATTATTACTAGGTTATAATTATATTATAAAATAACGCAGGGCTTTATTTAGAAAATATTTTGATTTTTATTCAAGTTTACATTAATGTGATTATAAGTTGTCCAGATGAATTATTTGAAACAAGTATATGAATACATGTGTGATTATACTACCCGTGCAGCTATAGTCGGGTGCACCCGCTCGTGGAATAGTAAGGATGGGTTTGTGGTGATAGCCGACAATATGATGAATTTGGAGCTACTGTTCGAGGGCTGGCGTATATCGGGCAACAAAACCCTATACGATATGGCAGTTTCGCATACAAACCGCACTATAATAGAGCACTTGAGGAAAGACTACTCTTACTATCAAGTGATCAAATACAACGAGACCACCGGT